TTGGTCCCTGTTTTTCCCCCCCCCCCCGTATTTATTTATTTTTTTTCTTTTGTGGCAGTACTGGAGTGGAACCCAGGTCCTTATACATGTTACGCAAGTGCTCTGCCACTGAGCCACACCCCCAGCCCTTTTTATTTATTTTTCCTTTTTAAAGTTTGAGACAAGGTCTTGGGAAGCTCCCCAGGCAGGCAGTGAACTTGGGCGATTCTCCTGCCTCAGCCTCCCAAGTATAGGGGTGTGCAGCAGCACCTGGCTAGTGGATCCAGGCTTTCTAAGAAGCCTTCCAGTTGGATTTGCAGGGCAAAGGCTTCTTTCCTCCTCCTCTTCCTCCTCAGCCCACCATAAGGTAGACCCTGCAGCAGGATTTGGGGACACACCCCGAACACAGACTGTCCCCTTCCCCGTCGATGGGAGAGCCGATGGTAACAGCTAAGTGAGACAAACACAGAGCCGGAGGGACAGCTGGCAGCCGGCAGCCCAGGCTCAAGCTGTGCCACGGAGGTCTGTGGTAGACAGTTTACAGGGAGCCCCTTGGGGCTGCATCTGCTGGGACCAAGGAGGTGACAGCGAGGCTGGGTAGGGAAGAAACTCCACTGCAGCCTACAGAAGGCTGGGCTGGTCCCACAGGTGCTGGGTGCTGGAGCAGCCCTCACAGCTGTCCCCAGTGGGGTGAGAGGGCTGTGCAGGAAGGGGCACAACCGAGGGTGAGGGGCTGTGCAGCTGAGGTGGATCCCAGGGAGGGTCGACAGCTGAGGGCCAGCAGCTGCCACCGCCCTCAACAGCTGGGGCAGTCAATCCTGCAGAGTAGGGAGGGAGCTCCGTCCACAGCCAGGGTCCAGGAGGCTGCTGCCAGAAGGGACAGGACAGGCGGGCGGGGAAGCAGAGACAGGAGAATCTGCAGTCCAGTGAGCAGGTACAGAGGCCCTGGGGCAGCTTGGCTGACTTGGGAGAAAAGAGCGAGCAGGCTGTCTGGGACTCGGCCGAGAGGGGAGGTAGGAGATGTCCAAGAGGGAGCCAGTGCCAGGCCAGGCAGGGGCTGACAGGCTGCCAGAGGAATGCGGCCCCGGTGTCAAAGGTACTCGGGAGCCACTGCAGTTTTTAAGCAGAGAGGAGGGCTGCTCCATGGAGGATGGACGGAGGAGATGAGTGAGGGTAAACAAGCAAGGTGCTGGTCAGGGCTGTTAGATCCAGGGGTTAGGGATGGAGGAAGTGGAGGAGACATCTTTTTTTTTTTTTTGAGACAGAGTCTCAGCTGTGTAATTTAGACTGGCCTTGAACTCACTATAGTGATCCTCCTGCCTCAGCCTCCTGAGTGCTGGGATTATAGGTGTGTGCCATCATGAGGGAAGAGTGATAGTCTTAAAAAAAACAGTGAGAGCCGGGCGTGGGTGCACACCTGTAATCATAGCACTCAGAGGCTGAGTGAGGCAGGAGAGTTGCCAGGAGTTCAAGACCAGCCTGGGCTACACAGTGTGAGATGCTGTTTCAAAAACAAAAAGAAAAGAAGGAAGGAAGGGAGGCCCTGCTGCTACTCAGGAGGCTGAAGCTGGAGGGCTGCAGGTGCTGGCCCAGCCCGGGCAGTTTACCCAGACCCCTGTCAAAAATAAAAAAGGGCTGGGGGTGTAGCTCAGCAGTAGAACACCCGGGGGTTGGATGCCCAAGGTAGGAAAAAAAGAAAAGAGAAATGTGGTGCCGCATGACCGGGAGGAGACAGGGTTTGGGCGGAGGTTGGGTGACGCTGTGGAAAAGTGCTTGTGGCAGGTGCAAGGCCTGGGCTCCATCCCCGGCACCGAAAGAAGAAAAACAGGAGATTTGGATGGTAAATCACAGGAAGACTCCTGCCCAGGTTACCCATTAACCTGAGCTCGGCTGTGAGGAAGTGGTGTAGGGTGTGCCTTGGCGTTAGACACCTGGACTGGAGCTCCAGGTCCCGGGTGGGAGGACAGAGACAGATCGGGCCCCCATGGGCCCGCCCTGGAGAGCCCGACACCAATGTCCTGTCCCCTCCTGCAGACCTGGACCCCCTGGAGCTCAGTGTGGGAAAGGAGCTCTCCGTGTTTCTGAACAGCAGCCGCGTGGCTGTGACCTGCTCTGCCAGGGCCCAGCCTGCGCCCTCCCTGCGCTGGACCAAGGTGGGCAGAGAGGCGCCCGGCCGAGCCCTGCCTGCTCCCCTCACCCAGACACAAGGCTCACGTCCTGTCCCCATCTCCCCATCCCCTCCAGGACTCCGTCCCTCTGGAGGACGGGCCCACGCTGTCACTCGGCTCCTTCACCTTCGATTCTGCTGGCACCTACGTGTGTGAGGCCTCCGTGCCCAGCGTCCCCCTCCTCAGCCGCACCCAGAGCTTTAGGCTGCTGGTCCAAGGTTCGGGTGGGCGACGGCTTGGGTGGGGATGAGCGCAGCTGGGGCCAAGAAGGGCGGGCCCTCCGTGCTCCCCCTCTCCTGCCTGTCCCTGCCCCTGTGTGGCTCCTGCTCACCTGGTCCCCGTCCCCATCGCCCACAGGGTCACCAGAGTTAAGGGCGAAGGAGCTGGAGCCCAGGGCCGAGGGCAGCTGGACGGAGGGAGAGGACGTGGAGCTCACCTGCGCTGCCCGTGGCTATCCGGAGCCCGAGCTCACCTGGAGCCAGCCGGGGGGCAGTGTAATCTGAAAAAAAAATCTGTAATATTTGCAAAAAACAACGCAGAACTGGCACAAAATTATCTGTTCATTAGTCAACTTGTTAGTATTCCAGATACTAAGCTAAAAGCAATAAATAAAGAGGTGATAAACTAAGATGAAGAAAAGGAAAGAAAAATAATAAAAAAGAGAGGGAGATAAAAAGGGAGGATAAGAAAGGAGAGATATAAGGAAAGAAAAATAGAAACTGAGAAAATAAGGAAGGATTTGGAGAAAAAGATTCAACTTGCTGTCATATAATATATATTTCCACAAGTGACATTTAAATTGTATATATTAACAATTTGAACCGCCCAGGCCGGCGTAGCCGTCATGGCCGTGGCCGTCAGTGTAGGCCTCCTGCTGCTCGTGGTTGCCGCCTTCTACTGCATGAGGCGCAAGGGACGCCCAGGCTGCTGCCACCGCAGAGAAAAGGGGACCCCGTGAGTGACCCAGCCCAGCCCCTGGGCCACACCCTTGGCCCCCCACCTCAACCCCAGCCTTCACCCGTCTGTACCCGATCTTCACCCTGCCCCGACCAGGCCATCCCCGAGGCCAGGTCTCCGACCCCAACTCATCACAGCCTTCCGCAGCCCCGTCCCTGCCACCTCATGCCCGCCCAGCAACCTGTCACCTTCAGCTTCCACCGAGGGCGTCCCCAAAGCCAGCCCCAGCTCCACCGCCCTCTCCAACCCCCGCAGCATCTTCTGCCCTCTCACCGTCCCCGTGCGCCCCCACCCTGCCCCCGGCCTCCCTCACCAGCCATGACCATGCCCAGCTGCCACCCTCTCCCCACAGGCCACCTGGGGAGCCGGAGCTGAGCCACTCGGGGTCCGAGCGACCGGAGCAGACAGACCTTCTCATGGGAGGGTCCGGGGCCAGAGCCCAGGGCGGCAGCGGGGCCTTCAGAGATGAGGTAGGTGAGGGCCAGGCCTTGGGGACAGGAGGCCGCCAGGTAAGGTAACGGCCTCGGGGCACAGGCTGAGTCATCCATTTTCTCCTCTGCAGTGCTGAGCCCGAGACCTTTTGGAGCTCCAGGCACCAACCCTGAGCTGCGGGCACCTGAGAACCAGCCCTGTGCCCCCCCCTTCTCCAGCCCAAGCTGGGCCACGTCCCTCCCTTCCTTCCTCTGCCTGCTGGGCAGGGACCCACCGCCAGGCCTGGCCTCCGGGAGGGGGGAGGGAGGGTGGGTGGTGGGGAGGCGGCCCTTCCTTCAGGGAGTCACTCTCCCAGGCCCCAGAATAGCTGCTGGACCCGAGCCCAGGGCCGGCCTGGGACAGGCCGGAGGGTCGCTGGCTGTGGCTATTTTTACCTCCTCCCCCGCGCGGGTCCCCCCACCTGAGTCCCGCTATACAGTCTGACACTGGATCCCGCCACCCTGGCCCCTGGCCCTTGTCTGTGGACACTGGAGTCTGGAATAAACGCTGTCTGTCACATCAACACCATCCAGGGGCCAGAGCTCCCATGGGGGCAGAGGGTCGAGGGGGGCGCAGGCAGCTGTCCCCTCTGGGTCCCCTCCACTGCCCAGCAGGGCCTTGGGAGAAGCCTAAGGTCGTGGAGAGAGAAATGGCAGGGAGATCGCAAGGGTGCAGAGGGCAACTCGGCTGCCTGGGTGGCGGGGAGAGATGCCCAGTGGGGCACCAGGCCTGGCCCCTGAGGACCAGGGACAGCCTGCATGGGGTGAGGTGCTGTCCTCTTAAGGAAAAATTCCAAGTCTTAGAGCCCCAAGGGAGCTGAGCTGGGAGGGGAGGGTCCCGTCTGTCTGTCTGTCTGTCTGTCTCTCTGCTGTGGACCTAGCTGGTAGGAGTATGGCTGGGCCACCTTCTCTCAGGAGATCAGAGGCCCCGCAGCTTAGGGTTCCCTGGCCAGACGAGGGGTCTGGGCCAGAGGGAGGAGACAGGCAGACTTTCTCAAGCCAAGGAAGAGAAGTGTGAAAGAGAAAAAGCTGGGTGTGGGGGTGCGTACCTGTAATCCCAGCCACGAAAGGGCCGGGGATATAGCTCAGGGATGGAGCCCAGCCAGGATTCCATTCCCAGTAACAAAGGAAAAAGGAGAGCGCGAGGAAGGAGGAAGGGAAAATGGGGTAGCTAGGAGTGACAGATGGGCTGCGAAGCTCTGAGATAAGAGATTTGGGGGGACAGAGGCGAGTAGAGACAAACTCAAAGAACTGGAGCTGAGTGTGTGAGTGCGTGCCTATAACCAAGACTCGGGAGGCTGAGGCAGGAGGATCACCTTGAGGATGGGAGCGTGGGCACCTGTGGCTCGGCTTTGCCATTGGCTGAGGGATGTCACCTCCCGAGCCTGCTCTCTGTGGCATCCTAGAGACAGGTAGGTCACACATTGGTCCCTAGGGGTCTCTGCAGTGCCAGGGAACGGAGGCCGGAAGTTGCGGGGGAGGGACAGGCAGCTGGAGCTGCTGCCCAGACTGTCCAGCGGAGAGGCCTTCCTCCACCAGCTTTGCCCAGCCACAGGGGGGACGTGGTGACACACTGGGGAAACCACCTTCGAGGCAACAGAGCAGTCTGCCCAGAGACCCAGAGTGAAAAGCTCACAGGACAAACGAGACGTCGAAACCTCATGCTGAATCCACTTAGTACAGACTGGATCGAAATAAAAAAGGCCTGAGCCCTGGGTTAACCCCTTCTCACAGAAAAGTCAATCAAACAAACTCGAAACAAGAAAAAAGATGGGGCTGTTAGCTTAGATCCGAATACGAGCGATCAAAGGCCCCACTGGAGTCGGGAACAGCGTGCTGTCCTTGCCACCTGGTGCAGCTTGGTGCTGAGTGAACGGAAGGGCCCAGCACAGCCCCTCAGCTGCCTGAGTGTCCCCGGTGGGCACCGAGCGCCCGGGCGGATGGACCCTTCCGCCTCTGCCTACATGGACTTCGTTTTCTTGTTCTTTCTTGATTTTTTCCCCCCATTACTGGGACTAGAAACCAAGGATACACTACCATCCAGGTAACATCCCGGCGCTTTTTTATTTTTTAGATTAGTTTTGCTTTTGTTTTGTTTTGTTTTATTTACAGTGCTGGGGATAGAACTCAGGACCTCACATACGATAGGCAAGAATTTCATGACGGGGCCAGGGATTTAGCTCAGTAGTTCCGCCGCCTAGGTCTAGAGTTAGATCCCCGGTACAAAACAAAAAACTCCACGATAAGGCTATATCCCCAGTCCTCCTTTTTATTTTTTGAGACAGGCTCTCAGTTAATTTGCTTGCGCTGGTCTCAAACTCAAAGTGATCCTCCTGCCTCAGCCTCCTGAGTGCTGGGATTACAGATGTGCGGCACCTCGCCTGGCTTAGCTCATATTTTTAATACAATAGATGCCCCCTCATCCACCAGGGACCTGTTCCAAAACCCCCAGCAAATGCCAGAAGCCACAAATAGTACTGAACCTTTGGTATGTTTTTTCAGATAGATAGATATTGATATAGTTTAATGTATAAATGAGGTACAGTAAGAGATTAGTAACTTTCAAAAAATAGAACAAAAAAATAAATTGGAACAAATTTTGTAAAAGTCAGGTACAGTGGCACACATTTCTAGTCCCAGGTACTTGGGCGGCTGAGGCAGGAAGATCACTGCAAGCTTGAAGCCAGCCTGGACTCCCTAGTGAGTATAAAACCAGTTTGAATTACAAGTAAGATTCTGAAAAAAACAAAACAAAAAAATTAAAACAACATACTGTAATATAATTATTTTAAACCTACTAACTATATCTGTAATGTTCCATTTAATAATTTGGACTAAGATTGACTGTAACTACATTTATAAGCTTTTGGTTGCTAGGATAACAAGGTTTGTTGCCTGACATACAAGGTTTGAGCAAAATATACAGTGAAGGTTTAAATGCAAATTTTATTACAGCCAGGCATAGTGGCGCACGCCTATAATCCCAGCACTCAGGATGCTGAGGCAGGAGGATTGCTATGAGTTTGAGGCCAGCCTGGGCTATGGAGCAAAGACCCTGCCTTGAAAAAAATTTATTACAGTAAAAGACACATTACTATTAATCCCCTCAAAATAGTCCCCTCCCTTCGAAGACACTTCTGCCACCCTTTCTGGCTCTTTCTGAAGCAGTCCTGGAGTCCTCTTTCCTCCCTTCTTTCTTTTTTCTTGGTTCCAGAGGTTGAACTCAGGACATTGCGCTTGCAAGACAGACAGCAGAACCACTGAGCTAATCTCTGGCCCTGGGGGGACAGTTTTGATCCAGACCATAATAGTAAATAAAACTCTGAAGCGGGGAGAGACTACTGTATGTCCAGGTCTCATCCTTTGTGTCATCTATCTGCCTCCCTGCTTGTGTGGCTCTTGGGTCCTCTTTCTTTAGTACCAGAGATCGAACTCAGGACCTTGTGCTTTCGAGGCAGGCAGCGGCACCACTGAGCTACACCCCCGGCCCTGACATCTTATTAAAATTTTTAAAAAGCCAGGCATGCTGGTTCTTCCCATAATCCCAGCCCCGGGGAGGCTGAGGCAGGAGGATCACCAGGAGTTCGAGGCCAGCCTGGGCTACATAGTGAGTTCAAGGCCAGCCTAGGCTACGTAGGATGGCCCTGACTGAATAAACAAACGAACAGAAGATGCAAGTGTAGGTGGGAGAATTTGGTGGGACCAAGGGAAGTGCTTGGGAGGAAGCTGGACAGAGTCTGCAAGGCACAAACCAGTTATTCCGCCATGGAAGGAAATGGGAGGGACAGGGAGAGGCCAGGCTTCCCTTAGTCAGCGAGGGAGGGGGCAGAAAGACACCCCTGAGGACAGACCCTGGGGCGTTGAGGGGAGGGGAAAGGGAGACCCCAGAGAGGAAGGGGTTCTCTGCTCAGCACCTGGGCCCCACATTAAGGAGCAGAAGGTCCAGGGCTCAGCCCCCAAGAGGGCTCCCATTTGCTAAGGTTCCCCCCTGCCTGGCCCCAGGCAGTTTGCAGACAGATGGCAGCCTGAGTCCACCTCATGGAACTGCTCCCCCCAGCCTGGCTGGGCCCTGGAGGAAGAGGATGGAGTGAAAGGTGAGCCAGGGCAGTGGGGCTCCAGGAGGTAAAAACAAGTCTATAATGAGCTTCCCTCATTCAGCAACCTTCCGTGGCTCCCTACTGCTCCCGGGAGCAGGATCACTGTTCACAAGGCATTCAGGGCTGCGGGAGGCACTACTCACACACACACCCACTGCTCCCTCTGTCTCCGCCATGCTTGGTGATGTCACTGTTCCCCTTCCCAGGAATGCCCTTTCCCATGGCCCCTACTATAAAGATGAAGTCTGGATGTCTAGGATTCTGAAAAGTTTTATCATCACGCCTCTCCCCGCCCTTGGGACATTGCAGGAATCCGTATCTCTTCTGGACTTGGACAGATTTTATCAGTAAGGCTATGTTTGCTTACAAATGACCAAAAAATGAAAAAAATAACTGAGTAAAAATTTGATTCCGGGCGTGGTGACACACTCCTGAAATCTGAGCACTTGGGAGGCTGAAGCAGGAAGATCATCAGGAGTTAGAGGCCAGCCTGGGCTACATAGCAAGACCCTGTCTCAAAAAAAAACAAACAATAAGAACAACACACACACATACACGCACAAAACAAACAAAAAAAAAACTGACGTAGGTGAAAAGGGACCAATTATTTAGCATTTAAGTGGGAAGTGCAAAGACAGGTTTACCTTCAGGCACAGCTGGATCTAGGCGCTCAGTTCCATTCCCATTCCTGAACCAAAGCCAGGGACATTGAGTGTTCTGTTTTGCCAGGCTCACGTTAGGCCTGCTCCGTCCCAGAAAGACTTGAGTGATAAGGAAAGCTGTGGAATGCAGCAGCTGCTGCCAGAAAAAAGAGCGAGGTAATGAGCAGGTGAAGCACGCCATGTTGACTCCACTCCGAGGCCCTTTCAGGAAGCTGCGTCCCCACCTCCTGAGTCCAAGGCTCCTCAGCCAAGTGTGGCCTCAGGAACTCCTCGACCCTGGACGTTGACCCCTCCCCAGGCGCGGGGCCCACCTAGTCATCTGTCAGCAGAGCGCACTGCAGTCTGCACTCCCAGGCTCCCGCGGGGCCCGTCCCACCCACCCGCTGGCAGGACAGAGGTGGGTGCTGGGGACCTTCCTGCTCCCCGCAGGCGTGGGCACATGCGCTCCTGGCGAGCCCAGGGGGCACCAGCGCTCGTTCGTGGCACACTCATGTGTTCGTTTGTTCGCGCTCAGTGGTGCCGAAGCCCGAGATGTTTCTTATCTGGAGGTCCGCACAGCAGAGGCGCCGAGACAGAGGTGGCCAGGCCACAGCCCCAGACTGTCCCAACCCCAGCCTGCTACTTCCACTCCGTGAAGTGGGGTTACCATCGTGTCCCATTCACAGAGTTTGGGGAGGAATAAAGTTAGACAAATAATACACTTAAAACAGTTCCACAACTGCCTTTTTTTTTTTTCTGTACTGGGAATTGAATCTAGCACCTTCCCACTGAGCTACACCCCTTTCCT